TTATCGTATTTTATAGTTTTCTTACTACTCTATCAATACTCCTGTCTTCTTACTATCAACTTGTACTTTTGCCTATTTCATGTGTAGTGACGTAATCTATTTCATTTCATTGTGATTATTGACTAAAACTGCCTTGATTGGCTTAACATTTTCATATAGATATTCATGTATATTAGAGTAAAGCCTGATGACGATCTAGTCGAAAACAATATTGTTCGCTTATATGTGCTGTTCTATGATGTATAAATAAGCTCTATTTGTGTGCTTGTCAACCTCATATTTCCTGGATGCTTGTAGAATAGACTTTCTAGGCCATATCAAGACTTCTTCTTATGGATAACAGGGCCGGCGACAATCGAATCAGAATAGCCACTGAGTCATTTGTCTTTGCTCTCGTTTATCGAGTAAGGTGAACTCGTAATAGCTTCAAGCATATCAAAATTATACTCTTTCATATGTTTTGTTTGATATTACGTGAAAATGATCAATCAGTAATCTATTCAATCTGGTGAGCGGAAGTAGAATAGGTTTGTCAGAATATGAACGATTATTTAACAAACTATACGCCTATCCACATATAACAGTTATGAATTGAGCCGAAACGCTATCTTACTTGAAGTTACATGGCAAATACCAGGCAGCAAAACATTTCAAATGATCTTTCACTCTCCATTGTGACGCGCTGATAGCTGATTCCCAATAATATTTCGAACTTATTTGTACAACGACACCAGACATGGATTTCAAATGAGATAATGAAATACTAATAATCCCATTATATACCCAGAACATTAGTAAAAACTCTAATTCAAAATACTCAGTACAGAATCGCATTCACCACAAGAAATCTGTAGAGTTTTCCATCAATCAACAGTTTTTCCCTTACAGGTAAAGTAAACTCGAGCGACTGAAATATAGTAGTTATAGTGTAGTGAAGGAGAACACAGGTGAGGCGACCGAAATGTATTTAACGACAATTACAGAGTTACTCAGTAAAATAGGAAGACTATATCGTGACCGTTAATTTGCAAATCTTCAATCCATCATCAATCCATTGTCTGACATTTCACTCACTATTCATGCCTTTCATACAAATTCCATTGTGTTCCCACTCTTCTTCCTTTCTCTTGATCTTCCCCCATCTTCTGCTGCCAGACATTACGCTTACACTCACGTCATATACTACTTATAAGTAGGGCGCACCACAATAGGAATAACTTTAAGTTGACGAATAGATGAATGACTCAAGGAAATAACATTGAATGAAGCATCTGTTTATCACTTAGAAATTATAACAATTACAGTGATACGATGTTAGATAATTAATTGTAGACAATCTACAAGAAGCCATAGAAATAATAGTTCTTGTTTTATGTCTTTCATTAAAACATACCACATATCTGATAAATCCAAGCAAAACCCCTCCATCTGTTTAGTAAGTTTACCTTAGCTTTGTGTTATAATAAAACAAATTGAATAGACATTAAACATTGAACAGAATTCAGATATTCAGATAGTAGGTTTTCTAGCATGAGACTGCTCAACAGCGTGTATCCCCGAGTCCATACCCTAGGATCGATCGAAGCCAGAAATTTCAATCCTGCATGTGAACACTTAACATGTAGACCATTAAACAAGCATCCAACGGTGTTAATGTCGAAAAATTGATGAATATCACACATTGAGTTAACAATATTAATCAATAACTATGCTCGTAAGTACTTATGACATAAACTAAATAATATAATGTCGCTATTTAAATTCTTTAAACAAACTCTAAGCATTCAAAAATTATTTTATACAGTTAAAATCCAAGTCAATATGTCAACAATAGTTCTCTAATAGTAAAGTCATGAAATCAGTAAATCATGAATGATGATATATTTACAAAATACTACTGTGTTTTATTTTAGTATGTGAATTTTTTTAAAAAAATACAAACTATTGAATTTGTTACACATTTGAAACCATGAATCGATCAATGTTAGACCATCATTAGAAACCTGGAAGCAATGGACGGCCGTTTCGGCCTGATATGGGACTCCTCAGCAGTGCGCATCCACGACTCCTCCTGCACCCCGCAGGATTCCAACCCAGGACCTTCGGTATTGTGCGCGAACGCCTAACCATCGGACCACTGAGTCGGTATCTAACGGTGTTAATGTCTAACTTGATCAATTCACGGAGTTGCACAACCTCATACACAGTCTTCGGTAGTGGTTACTGTCTACACCCGAACAGGTTGAACTTCACTGGTCACGTCTTCCCTCTAGAACTCAGAGAAGATTCGTCACGAAGCTAGTCACTAGTGAGCACAGGTAATTTGCATTACGGGATTGTGAAGAATGTTAAGTTACACATTATTTGAAACCATGAATCGATCACATTACCGAAGGTCCTGGGTTCGAATCCGTGCGGAGTGCAGGAGTCGTGGATGCGCACTGCTGAGGAGTCCCATAATAGGACGAAAAGGCCGTCTTTCAGTGGTTCCAAGTTTCTAATGGTGGTCTAACATTGATCGATTCATGGTTTCAAAAAATGAATAACTTCTGTAAAAATATGTTTCTCACTAATTGTGTATTCTTCATCAAGAAGAACCCATGCGTCTGTGTCGTAGCTCACATTCGAATCTATCAGCTTGATCATTCATCGTTCGATGTTACAAAAATGTTTAATAAAACACTATTCATGCCTACCTATCACACACTCGTTCATCGATTCATCAAAACTTATCCATTCCTTATAATAAAAAAAAAATACGCTCGCTAATCATCCATCTTATCTCATTTATGCATTCAACCTAACAAGAAACTATACAATCTTTGGCATAAATTACACTACGGAATATTTCACTAGTGTAAATTGTATAAACATTCATTCTAATCATTGTAATGACCTTCATAGAGAATAGAAATCACAGATAATGAAAATGTTTTCTCAATGTTTGAATAATTTGTGAAGACAATTTGAATATGACAGTGAAATATTAACTCAATCTATTGTAATTTTAACAATCATTATACACTTATCATTCGATAGTTTGTTTCTGTCTGATAAATCAGTTTTCTGAATGAATACATTGAATATTATAATTTTTGTAAATATCTACTTTATCGAAAATTTTTAAGTCTAATTTGGATACCTATACTGTCTGTCATTGATATTTATCAGTACTTGAAATACTCAAGAATAAACCAGATTCGATTGTGAACTTATTTCTGTGAAAATGTATATTTCACAAGACGACCTTCATGATACTTACTGTCAATCAGTTAGTTACAACGTAGAACTTCGTACGTATGTGCATAAGTTTAGGTCACCATACTACATTAGCACAGAGACCCAACTGTCATTTCAAATCTCATATTGGTAGAGATAGTGGAATTATGAAAGATAACGGAGAAGACTAAGGTTCGAAGAAATTATACAAGAGGTATAATTCAGTGTGATAACTTTAGAAGGATATAAATACAGGTGATGAGGAATTCCGAAGACTCGAATTTAAGAGAACACAAAGAGTAGATGCACCTGCGCCATGTCATTCAAGGTCTCTAACCATCGGTTACTTTTGTCTCACGGACCTCAACCAGGTAGTCTACGTCTACCAACATCACTCAGTCCACTTGTCAGTCACTTCATGCATTTCTGACATGTTTTGGTTTGGCCGCCCCTAACTTTCTTCCAACCCACTCCTACACCACAAAACATACCGCGTCCAGGCAGTCGGTCGTTGGCCATACGTAACACATGTCCCAACCACCTCAACTAATCAAGTTACAATACTTCATCTATTCACCTGCCATCCCTATCTAGTACTCCATTTCTAACCATAGCATTGTTTACTCGGTCGTCCCACGATATACCAGCAGTGCTCCGAAGACATTTACAGTCGAATACCAATAACTTACGAATGTCTTCTACTCCTCTTAACGGCCATGTTTCGCATCCATATAGTAGGACAGAGCGGTAACATCACACGAACCTCACTACTCTACACATCACACACAGACGAAACGGCCGTCTTTCAGTGCTTCCAGGTTTCTAATGGTGGTCTAGTAACAATGATTGATTGATGTGTAAAAACACAAATCTCCAAAGCTCTAACTGAAACTTTTCATAAGTGTTAAACAGTGATATTGTAGTGAAGGAGAACACAGGTGAGAGCAACCGAATTCTATTTATCGCAAATTACAGAGTTACTCAGTAAAATCGGAAAACCATATCGTAAACGGTTAATTTGCAAAACATCAATCCATCATCAATCCATTGTCTGACATTTCACTATTCATGCGTTTCATACAAATCCCATTGTGTTCCCACTCTTCCTTTCTTGATCTTCCCCCATCTTCTGCTGCCAGACATTACGTTTACACACGCTTCATATACTACTTATAAGTAGCGCGCACCACAATATTAGTGCACTTATATTTACTACAAGGGACGGTTAGCTCATTAATTGATTTATGTAAAATGGCAGAAACTGATTCACAGCGTATCACATCAAGACTATTAAAAGATGAATACAATATTCAAACACTTAACACACTACAAACTTTTCAATAATACTTCAATGTATCAGCTACAAGAATCTCATTGATTTCAAGTAATTAACTCAGGTGGATTGATATAGAGAGAAATAATGCAACCTAATTGTTGGTCATTACTTACTTTATCACACATAAAATGAAATTTCATTTGACAACTGTGTGAAAAGAAATTCAGAAATGGAAATAACTGTTTTAAATGAATCTTTAATAAATATTATGTTCTACTACAAACTATTTATTTATTGTTGATATGTTTAAATTTAATAATGTCAAGAAAAGAGAGCTCGATTGTAAAGAGTTTTTGTTTGAAACTATCTATGTATGACAAGACATAATGTCAACCAATCAACAGTAGTTATTATGCATAAATAACCAGCAACCAATTAGAAAGCATCATTCTTATAATATAAACTCTTCATAAATTTGATTTTAAGTCGATTCATTCAACTTGTTTGTACTTCTCATCTTAATCAGTAAGTTAAACATTTGGATAACATTTTCACTGCATAATATTCTAGTATAGAATAAGAATACTAGTAACTACATTATAAAATAAGCCATTTATTCTTGTTGTAATCTGAACAAACCACTGGTTTGAATCACTTGTTATTAATTAAACAAATACTGATACGCCTCAACGTAAAACAAGATTTTATTCTCCAGTAACAACAAATTTACGAAGTACTTAACCCATGTTATTCTGAGTTATTTTTTTTTTCATCTGGTTAACTGTTAGACTTATCAGTATGTAACTTGACATTAGTTGACATAAATGAACCAAAAAATTTATGAATGTGTGCATATCATTGAAAACATTAGTAAATTAACTGCTATAACTGATATGCTCGCCAGCTGATATGCTCGAAAACTATTACGAGTTCAACTTACTCGATGAACGGAATGGAGAGCAATGACTCAGTAACACGATAGGCTATTCTGATCCGTTTGTCATAGGCCCTGCTAACTAGCTCAAGAAGTCTTGATAAGGCGTAGAGAAAGTAATCTTTGAAAACACCCAGAAAATACGAGGTTGCTAAGCACACATACCAAGCTAATTTATACACAATGATAGAGACACCCTTGGGAGAGCTACAAAATACCGTACTAAAATAATCTATCAACCAATGACATTCAAGGATTTTCTGAGTGGGAAATGTAAGCTCAAGGTCAACTAAGTGTCTCTTAGCGCGAAAACATAAAAAATTCAAAATTTCAGAAATAAATTAAAAAGTTAGGACCTATCCAAGTAAGTTCTGGGAATATAACATCCCCAACAAGAACTAATCATTACAACTAAATTACTGAGTAAAATGCTATCTCCTTCTTAATAGTTACATTTATTAAAAAAATATAGAAATTCAAAGAGGCTAAAGGTTATGTACAGGACTGTCATACTATACTGCACTGTTATGTAACAATAAACGATAAAAAAAAATAACAAATTTACTGTAAAATAATGAATTAACCGTTTCATGTTCAGTCATCCATCATGATTAAACAATTCAGTGAAGGTCATGTGTTAGGACTTGAGCTGGTGTGGTGAATTAAGGTTGTTACCTTATAGGAATTAAGTCGCCGATTAATATCAGCTTTAACATACAAAAAGAATTACGAATAGGTATTAAGAGTTAATTTAAACTGATCATTTAAGAATATAATTATAAAGGTAAGATTTAATTAAAGTTTAGAGTTATAGTAGGAGAATATCATTTGGTTACACATATACTCAATACTATACACTGAATCATTTTGAATACTCTTACATAAACTCTATAACAAGAGTAAGAAGTATTTCTCGTGATCATTCAGTTGTATAATAAGTATTATGATAAATTTTAAGTGAAATGACCAACTATTATTGAAATCATGAATTAATCATTCTTAGACCACTATTAGAAACATGGAAGCACTGGATGGCCGTTTCATCTTGATATGTGACTCATCAGCAGGAATTACACCCATGTGCTCACTGGTGGACAGCGCTGTTAGGAAGTTTCTTTGAGTTCTAGTGACAAGCCATGAACAATGAGTGCAAAGCACTGCTCGCTGAAGACAATATATGAGTTTGCGCAAGACTGTGCATTAATCGACGTTAGACGTGAACATCATTGGATGTTGGCTTAGTGGTCCGAAGATTAAGTTTTCGCTCACAAGACCGAAGGTCCTAGGTTACATTCTTGTGAGTAGCAGGAGTCATGGATGCTCAATGCTAATGAACCTCATACCAGCACTTGATTGCCATCCAGTGCTTCCAGGTGTCTAATGATGATGACTTAACGATGATTGATTCATGATTTCAATAATTAACAGCAATCTCCATAATTCACTTATTAAATGTACTAAATATTATCAATTTTCACTTAGTTCATAATAAAATACAAGCTATTTCCTTAATGTTGTTTTAATTTCGAGTATAAGTCTACAAATTCTGTCAGTATTGAATGATTTTATCGTACAAAATGTTAATGCAAAAGCTTATGAACATGTACACATTTTGCTTTAAATCAATCAACAACAACGTAGAACTTCGTACGTACGTACGTACATCAGTTCATGTTGCCGTACCACATTAGCACAGAGATGGAATTTTCACTTCAAACTGCATAGTAGTAGAAGTAGTAAAGGTAATCAGAGAGATTAGGGTTCCAGCATATTATTCAAGAATTAGAATCTAATGAAATAAACTTAAAAAGAAAAAGATAAAGGTGATGAGAAATTAAGAAGTTTAGGATTTGAGCGAACACAAAGAAGGAATGCTTTGCTTTAGTGGCACGAAGTGACAAACGATCGAAAGAAAGGCTGGTCGAGCAGATAAGAGAGTTATTAGTGTAGTGAACGAGAACACAGGTGGGGCAACCGAATTGTATTTAACGAAAATTACAGAGTTACTCAGGAAAATAGGAAAACCATATCGTAAATCGTTAATTTGCAAAATATCAGTTCATCATATCGAACTGGACAGTTCCTGTTGCAAAACATCAATCGATTGTCACTATTCATGCGTTTCATACAAATTCCATTGTGTTCTAACTCTTCTTCCTTTCTTGATCTTCCCCCATCTTCTGCTGCCAGACATTACGTTTACACTCACGTCACATACTACTTATAAGTAGCTCGCACCACATTAGAAAGGGAAAAACGGATTTGATTATGATCAATTTGGGTATAAGGGCGGATGTAACTTCCCGGCTGCCCATACCGTTTGTAAGTTTCTAGTTGTCCTGTAAATATTATATCACATAAACTCAGTATAGAATGGAACAAAAAGTTTCGCATGAAGTGTGCATAAAATAAATTTATTACATTATCTAGTAGGGATACTACCCTAACTCAGGTCTCATATGGTCGAAAAATGAAAATTTCGCAAAACGCGAAAAAATCATTGCCCGACATGTGAGTCAAAGGGTAATAGAAGTGTTTGGACCTATTTGCATCAAGCTAGGCTGTCTCTTCTACTATCCTACGCCAAATATGTGTACGCCATACGCTATACTACTTATATAGAGCTGAAGGTCTCCTATGAGACCAGAGGTTAGCTTTGATGATCATTGTGGATGGCTTGGCACTGGTTTGGTAAGCATTGCTGACAGTCCATATACAAAAGTGGTTAGCCGGGCGACCGATTACATCAATATAGGTGGTTGTTTTGCAACATTTCCGACGGCCATTGTCGTTGGGGTGCTAATAATAATGAGTTTGACAGTCATGTAAGCGGGATGGGTCGAAATGGCCTGTTCATGCGGTGCATATTGATTGACTCGACCACTGATCGGAAATATATATACCAGTGTGTATATATAAATGGTGTCAATGGTCCACCAGAGTATCAGGTATCTGTGTGGTTGCACCACAGGATCCAGCTGAACTGTTCATGTAGTAATGATAAAACGTGAGCAGTCTCTTTGATTCTCCTGAAAACCAAAGTCAAACTGCCCTTGACAATATAGGGTAAATTTATATAATTGTGAATAAATTGAATATTATCTAATGAAAGTGTGCAATAGTGATTCAAACAACCACTAAATATTATAAAATCAATTATGTTTTAAATTATTACTGTACAGTACCGGCGATTCACAAACAATAATAAAACAATTATTTATCAAGTAATTTTGTACTTAATTATGATATGAGCTCTCGCTGGAATATGGATTATTTAGAAGGAATTACTGAGGAAAGCAGTTGTACTGAGAATGAGTTACTGGTTTACCAGGAGAAAGAGAAAGAATGAGAGTAAGCAACCTTGTCTGACATTGGTCTTTTCACTTCGAATATGCTGCCCTTCATGTACGATTTTGTATTGTAGTCCATCATGAGAACTCTGTGTGATGTTGACTATTTTATCAGGCATGTCGTAGTGTCGAACAGGCTTCTAGAGAGTTTGATTCTATCCATGCTGTCGAATACTATCTTTTGGTAAATGTGAAGTTGATAATATTATCCCGACCGTAGCTGCTACCTTGACGTGGTAGTCGGGCTTGACTATCGTAATGAGCCAGCCGAGCTATATTGGCTGGAACGTATGTTCCTCAAGGTTCTACCATGTCAGGCAGGTCGATTGGAGAACGATGAGACTAAAAGCAGCTACCCAAGGTCTGAGGGCGAAGTCGTACTGCTGACTGCAGAGGGGTGTGACAGCAGTAAGGTGTTTCCCTCGGACAACCAGCATCTGCAGCGATGCTGCCTTCTCACAAGGAAGGAAGGGTTAGAAAAGGTCGGCCCTAAAAATGTCACACCTCACCCTACCTCACGGATTTCCGTCTCCTTGAGTAAGGGTGCCCACTAAGGGCCTTTAAGAACGGAGCTAATCCTCAAAAAACATTTCATTAAAAGGCCGTGCGTGACCGGCCTCAAGCAGTTGTCCCTTGGGCTCTGCGGTCACGCACCAACACTAATCTATCTTCCTTTTCAGGTTCCTCAAGAAACAACCTTCCACGGTGTGGGCAGCCGGGAAGTGACAACCGCCTCATACCCGTAACAGCACACGATACCAAATTGGTCAAAATCAAATGCTTCCTACACCCCCCTAATACCTCTCATATCTCCACGTCTAACTCTTCTCACATTCCTTTATCACACTGCACAGCTGATGCAAACGATGCGAGTTCACGAAACGTCATTTCTGGTCTCCTGAAACCGCATTCTAGACTACATATTGAAGCTTTTTATGTACGTACATTATGTCAAATAGGGCAACAGGCTTCGTTAGCTAGAACTTTAGAATCCTGTGCCATCGAAGTATGCTGTGTCTCGGATACGTGCATACAGGATCCTAGCAAAATCATTAATTTGATTTCGCCTTTTCGAAACAAAGAAGCAGCCCGATATACTCTTCGTGTATCCGGGAGTCCTGATGCTGCTTCCTGGGGTCTCGCTGATGTAGGTATAGCATTGAGTCGTAGGGCAGAACTAGCACTCCTTGACTGGATCCCTGTAGATAGTCGTTTGTACGCCATCCGACTGAACGGGACAGTAAGGACTCGGAAAGATAGAGACACCCGTCGTTGCCTCTTCGTCGTATCTGCCTATGCACCCAACTGACTACAGTTCAGACGAGGTGAAAGACAAGTTCTACAGAAAGCTTTCGGACCTTCATATTTGTTAAAACTGTTAACATTGAAAGGCAATAAAATTGAATATGTGATTTCTTTTTATCTAATTAAGATTTTTTTCTATCAACTTTAGGATAATGATTTTAACAGTGAAAATAATAAGTATTATTTACTTATTAACAGCCTATACAAATGCCGCTGTGTTGTCTACTTTTCAACCAGGTAAAACAACATTATATATATATATATATATATATATATATATATATATATATATAGAGAGAGAGAGAGAGAGAGAGAGGGAGAGAGAGAGAGAGAGAGGGAGAGAGAGAGAGAGTTGAGGAGATATTTTTTACGAAAGAATTGTTATTAGAAAAATTTCGCAAATGCATTCACATTTCTTCAACTAATAGAATTCATATAAATGTGTTACGCTTGCACGTAAACACGTCAACTTGATATAGTTGAACTATTACAAGTTTACCTAGTCGGAAAACGAGAGAGAGGATCGAGGATCCGGTGACACGACATACTACTCAAATCCAATTATCCCAACCCCCATATTGAGTAAAAATATGCAGACGTGATATGAAGTAGAACGTGTATTCTACAAGCATCCAGGAAGTACGAGGTCCGAGTCCAGAAGAGAATCAGGACCCCAGACTAGGGATCCGGGACCAGGTCCTGGTCGTGGTCATAAAATGGTACAGATAATACGTATTTATACATTTTGGTTGAATAGGAAACAGCATCGAATTCTGTGACATTGACAGTTAAGACGACCAATAGGAAGTAACATTTGAAATGACATTGACAGTCCGGATGACCACTAAGAGACAACATTGAAGTATTTGACTTTGACAGTCACAACGGCCATAATTTTGACCAATAGAAATCGACCAATAGGATTTGACCAATAATTCTCTTAGGATATTGGATGAATATCCTAACAGTAAACATGTCAATTTCATATGCTTGAACAATTACGAGTTTAACTGAGTCGGAAAACGAGAGGGAGGATCCGGCGACACCTCACACTGAATGAAAGAAGAAGACTTGATCAGAAGTAGAACCTGTATTCTACAAGCATACAGAGAGTACTTGGTCCGAGTCCAGATGAAGACACGGATCCCGGACTAAGGATCCGAGTCCGGGTCCAGGTCATAAAAACGTTACAGATAATGGGTTTTGATACATTTAAGTCGAATAGGAAACAGCATCGAAGTCTGTGACATTGATAGCTAAGGCGACCAATAGGAAAGAAACATTTGAAGTGACATTGATAGCTAAGATGACCATAATATTGACCAATAGGAATCGACCAATAGAATTTACACTTGTAAAATGATTCAATATGAAATGCTTAGATTTGTATAAGTTTCAATATTTTTCATTCAACATCCAATGGAATTTACATTGAATAGAAAGTATTAGAATTTGACGATATTTTAAGCATTCATCAAGTATAATATGACTGATTAACTATATAGTCAACTTGTCTGTCTTACTCCTCTGTTTCTAAATACATTATCAGTAATGAACTCAGTGTATGATATTACCAATCAGTGGTGATTGAAAGGATTTCATGCACTGAGTGATCGCAGTGGTTTCCTTTCGACTATGAAGAAGAATTCAAGCTTAAGAGGTGTTCTTTGATCTACCTCTTTTCCTTCAGCTTTGAGGATTCCATCTTAGGTGCTTTGCGCATGATGCAGTTGAGTGACTTCTTTAATGTGTGACATATTCACCTCCAGCACTCTTTGCTAATTTCTTCGTCTACTGTAATTTAGTTTGTTTCCTGCCACAGTAGGTTGTTGCTAATGGTGTCTGGCAAACGAGTCCGGATTATTTTGCGTAGACAACTGTTAATAAACACTAGTATCCTGTGCATGATGACTTTGGTAGTTCTCCAGTTTTTTCCCCATACAGTAGAACTGCCTTGACATTTGTATTGAAAAATGTGACTTTATTGTTAGCTGATGATTGTTTTGAGTGCCAGATGTTGCTCATTTGTAGAAATACTGTCCTCATTTTGCTAATCCATATCTTTACATCTATTTTGAGATCCACGTTGTTTATCAACGATGTTGCCCAGGTATGTAACGGCTTCTATTTCTTCCAAAGCTTTCCCATCATGTGTGATTTGTTCGGTGTATGTTGTGTTGTATCGGAGGATCTTGTTTTTTTTTTTAGTTGTGTATGTTGAGACCAACTGCTGCAGAGACTGATGCTACGTTGGCCACCTCCTCCTGAATTTGTAATTGCGTGTGCACTAGAAGAGCCAGATCATCTGCAAAGTATAGATCGTTCAACTTCATGTTAACTGTCCATTTTGTTCCTTGCTTACCCTCAAATGTCTTAATAATCCATTCGACCACCAAGAGAAAAAGGAAGAGTGAAAATAAGCAACCTTGTCTGACACTTGTTTTCACTTTGAATGAATTTGTGAGCTGTCCTTCATGCACAATTTTGCATTGTAGTCTATCATGAGAACTCTGTGTGATGTTGACTATCTGATCAGACAGCCTCTACAGTTTCATTCTGTCCACACTGTCGAATGCTTTCTCGTGGTAAATGTGAAGTTGATAATACTATTGTTATATTTGTTGGAATTGTTAACCAACAGCAGTGCTCATTCACGACTCCTGCATGCCGCAGGATTCGAATCCAGGACCTTTGGTATTGTGCGCGAACGTCCAACCTCTGGATCACTGAGCCGGTATATAACGGTGTTAATGTCTAACTTGATCAATTCACGGAGTTGCACAACCTCATACACAGTCTTCGGTAGTAGTTACTGTCTACACCCGAACAGGTTGAACTTCACTGGTCACGACTTCCCACTAGAACTCGGAGAAGATTCATCACGAAGCTAGTCACTAGTGAGCACAGGTAATTTACATTACGTGGTTGTGAAGTTTGTTAAGTTACACATTTTGAAACCATGAATCGATTAGTGCTTCCAGGTTTCTAATAGTGGTCTAACATTGATCGATTCATGATTTCAAATTCTGTAACTTAACAACAATCTTTACAACCCCGTAATGGGAACTGTTAACGTTGAATGATATTAAAATTGAATATGTGAGTGAATCCGTTGGATGATGTCAACAAATGTTATTTATATATTTTATTTGTGACCTTAAGTCCTACTCACGTCTCATTACATTGGACATACCTATATGTCATTGTTTATGTTCACAGTAGTATTCAAACGGACTACCTTTCGCTTTCAATGTTCAATAAAAAAAAACCGCGAAGTACAAACGCTTATTCATAAACTTTTTGTTTTAAAATTATTTCTTTTTACATAGAAAATGAACATTCATCTATACAAATAAGAAATCGTGAAACAAGTAAAGAAGCATTTTACAATCTTGACCACTATACACGCAGCAATCGGAAAATGCCTAGAATACGTCATACTTTTAAACCATCAATATATCTTACTCAAACAGATAATGCCATCAAAGCAGTGACAGATAATTATCAAAAAAGAACAAACTCTGTCATGGTCTACACATCCAAACCTACTCAAATAGATAAAAGCATCAACTCAGCTAGAGATGATTTTCAAAGGAAAGAGGATTATTTAAGTGATTAAACAGTTGAACTTATTAAAACAACTACATAAATAACGATCATTGAGAAATTCAATCATCATACTATTTGATGATGTTTACATTTTTTTGAAAAATATTCTTAACTACTAGTAGTTTCATTTTGCAACTTAAACGTGTTAATACTAAATGTATTTCAAGTGATTTTTTATTCAATTTAGTCTTTTAGTTAGTTACTTGTTGTTTAATTAGTGTATTTTAAATGATTTCCTTAATTGTAGATTTTATAAAAGTTTAATTATAAATTTAGTATATTAGATCAAGATAGACATGTCTACACTGAATTTATTATTTAGAAAATCGATAATACTTCTGAATTTATGACATAGTGTTTATAACAGAAAGCGAGGAATAAATCAAAAAGATAGTTTTGCATTACAGAGTATTATGAAGATGGTTGATTTTACATGTTAAAATTCACGAATGAATCAATGTTAGACCACTATGAGATACCTGGAAACACTGGACGGATGTTTCGTTGTGGTATGAGATATATCAGCATGCTTAGTGGTTCAGAGGTCCAGACCTAAGCTCCTGGGTTCTAGTCCTGCTAGTGACAGGAGTCGAGGATGTACTCAGTTGGTGAAACTGACATCCAATGCTTCCAAGTTTCTAATTGTTGTCTAACAATGATTAATTCATGATTTCAATGTGTAAAAAGATTGTTGTTGAACTATGAACTATGAAACTGTAATTTTTAATTAATAATTAGACAGGTCCCCAAAATAAGACTAACTGAATTAATCCAAATATAATTTGATTTTTAACAAATCTGAACATTCTATGAAATATGAGATACATAATTATAAGTACAATGGATTTGGAAACTATCTTTGTTCATTAAAATATTTTAGTTGATGAGCAAAATACTTCTCAGTTCAGTGAATATGAGCGCAGACTAGAGAAAACCAGTCTGGTTTTAGACCCGGACGTGGTTGCATAGACCACATTTTCACACTACGACAGGTCCTGGAACACAGACACACATTTAGACATCCGACTATAGTTGTGTTCCTGGACCTTAAGGCGGCATTTGACTCAGTGGATCATGAGGTTCTGTGACAGTGTCTGTCATTGAAAGGTGTTCCAAAGAAGTACATTAACCTTATACAAGCTCTATACTCGGGCGAGAGCATATGACGAACTGTCATCGGAATTCTCTACATCAAGTGGTGTTCGACAGGGATGTCCACTTTCTCCATTCTTGTTTAACTTTGTCGTAGACATCCTCTTAGAGTTAACATTAAGCTCGTCAGATTTTTCAGGGGTTGACCTTCTACCAGGAAAGTCGCTTACTGATCTAGAATATGCCGATGATATAGTTCTATTCGGTGAAGACACTGACAAAATGCAGTCTTCTGACCACCCTAAGCAACAATGCAAGCATGTTCGGGATGCGGTTCTCACCCTCGAAATGAAAAATGTTGCTTCAAGATCGGGTTGCATCGGCACCTGAACTAGTGATAGGGAGTGAAGTAGTCGAACGTGCAGACCGCTTCACTTATCTGGGGAGTCTCATCAGTGCTGATAGCCTGGTGACTGACGAAATCTCAGCGCGGATACAGAAAGCTCGATTGACTTTTGCCAACCTACGTTACTTATGGCGTAGGCGTGATATCCGTTCGCTAACCACAGGACGAGTGTACTGCACAGCAGTTCGCCCCGTTCTCCTATACGGACGCGAAACATGGCCGTTAAGAGTAGAAGATGTTCGTAGGTTACTAGTATTCGATCACAGATGTTTAAGAAGCATTGCTCGTATATCGTGGGACGATCGTATAAGCAATGCTATAGTTATAAATGGAGTACTAGATAGGGATGGCAGGTGAATAGATGAAGTATTGAAACTTGATTAGTTGAGGTGGTTGGGACATGTGTTACGTATAACTAAACAGCGACTGCCTCAACGAGCTATGTTTTATGGTGTAGGAGTAGGTTGGAAGAAAGCTAGGGGCGGCCAAACCAAAACATGGCACAAATTCATGAAGTCAGTGACAAGTGGACTGGGTCATGTTGGTAGATGTAGGCTACCTGTTTGGGGTCCGCGAGACGAAAGTCGCTAATGGTTAGAGACCTTGAACTACATGGCTCAGAATCGTTTGCAATGGCGCAAGTGCATCTATTCTTTGAGCTCTCTCAAATCCTAATCTTCTGGATTTGTCAGCACCTCTACTTTTCTCTTTCTAACCTTATCTCACTGAATTATACTTTTGAATAATATCTTCGAACTCTAGTCTTCTTCATTACCATTAATACCTCTACTATCTTTAACACTATGGGATTTGAATTGACATTTGCGTCTCTGTGCTAATGTGGTATGGCGACATGAACTTATATACATACGTACGAAGTTCTTACGTTGCAACAGACTGACTGACTCACACATGGATAACTATAGTTGACATTTTAAAATGATATTTTGCTTACATTGTTTTTAGAGTTTTATAGAGAGATTTAAATTGAACTACTTTTATATTTATCAGTGAACGTCAATAGTCTGTTAAAATTACTCTCATCCGTTGTGAGTTACGAATTACCATTTATTGATATTAATAGATGGGAATATCCAATCCGTGTTATTACTAACTAGTTTAATGGTTACATAGGTTTCATAACTTGAATTTCAAGTGTAAATTTCCTCGTAAGATATTTACCTTGCACAGGATTCTTGATATTTGAAGTTTTGAATCTATTAGCAGATTATAATTCTGGTATTAAAAAATAGTTAATTAAACCTCATTATGATTTGAAGGCTTCTATTTTTATGTACTCGAATTTTGTGTTTCAGCGCATACTACTTATCATTGTTAAGTAGTCTGAGTATACTCAAGAATTTTATGATGTTACACTGTTATTGCTTAGTATCAAATTGGTTATGTTTTTATTTCCAATATTTATAGATCAAGAGTAAGTAGACTACAAAACTTACAAGGGTGCATATTTTTAATTTATGCATATTGTTCATCCCACAACTATACCTGTACATTTCCAGCATAAGTGGCCATGAATGGAATAATCTCTACGACTATCAAGGATAGTCTTTGATCTGTGTGTGCGTGTGTGTTCATCTATTCCTGGTAGTAATGACAATGTAACAGCATTGTGAATATTTTAAACCAAGATTTATTAGACCGATTACGCATGATATTTTGTTTAGGCGAAAAATGATTTGAAGTCGTTGACTAAGAGAAATGAAGGTATTCATTTAAACACTCAACAGAATATACAATTAACTTTTTCTATTACTTACTTACTTACGCCAGTCACGCCCAATGGAGTATAGGCCGCTGACCAGTTTTCTCATGAGCTTCCTTTTCCAGTTCTATCCAATTTTTGTTCATTCTTCTTATATCTTTCTCTATTTCTTAGCGTAATGTGTTCCTTGGCCTTCTTCTTTTCCTTTGATCATGAGAGTTTCAATTGAGGGCGGAAGTCGTGCAAGCGCACTGTTGATGGGTCCCATTACCAGGACTAAACGGTCATTCAGTGCTCCTAGGTTTCTAAATGTGGTCTCTAACAATCATCGATTCGAGATTTCAATATAAAACAACAATCTACATACCTCTATAATAAAAAATTTAGTAAATACTCAATAAATATTATATACTACTGAAGTAGTAAGAATAGAATAGTGAATTTTCTTTAACTGCATCATTATAACAGTAATTGTAAATGTTATCCTAAACAAATAGGCGACTAGTTTAATAAGAATAAAATATTGTAGGAAATAAATAGCACAGTGAAATAATAAAAAAAAGGAATATTAAAATGAACAGATATCATAGAAATATCACATGAATGATAAACTGATGAAATATTACACTAAATTTAAAACAAATTGTTACATTTTAATCTTTTTCCTAACATAAAATATGATTAGGTTCATTTAGATCAATTATCAGGTCATTTTAATTATTATACAGTCGAAATGAATGAGGGTAACAAATGTGGTATATACTACTTAATTCACATTGAACTAACCAATGTGGTTTAACAACAAAATTCCAGTGTATCTATTGTGAACTATTACTTACTTACTTACTTACTTACTTACTTACTTACTTACTTACTCACTTACTTACTTGCTTACTTACTTACGCCTGTTACCCCCAATGGAGCATAGGCCACCGACCAGTTTTCTCCAACCAACTCTGTCCTCGACTTCGCTCTCCAGTTCTGTCCAATGTTTGTTCACTACTCTCATATATTTCTCTATTTCTCAGCGTAATTTATTCCTTCGCCTTCCTCTTTTCCTTTCTCATTGAGGGTTCCATGTGAGGGCTTGTCTTGTGACGTAGTTAGGTGCTTTTGGTAATGTGTGTCCTATCCACTTCCACCACTTTTTCCTGATTTCCTACTCTACTGGAATCTAATTTGTTCTCTCCCATAGTAAGTTGTTGCTGATGGTGTCTGGCCAACGAATCCGAAGTATTTTGCGAAGATAACTGTTAATAAACACTTGTATCTTCTGGATGATGGCTTTCGTAGTTCTCCAAGTTTCGCTCCATACAGTAGTAGAACTGCCTTGACATTTGTATTGAAAATCCTGATTTTGGTTGAGAGTTGTTTGTAGTTCCAGATATTTTTCAACTGTAGAAATGCAGCCCTTGCTTTGCTAATCCGCTCCCTCACATCTGCATTGGATCCAACTATTTGTCAGTAAAATTTTCATTACCGTGTACAGATGGCACATCTCAAAGGGTACATATATATAAGCTGTGGAAGTTGGTTAAAATGAATTTTATTCATGGGAATGAAAAACTGATGAATTATTAGCAGAAACATTGAACCAATGAACTGTTTGATTAAAACCACAAACCTCAAACGGTTACACACTGATTCCTCTGCGTACTACAAGTTTTATTCAACATAATAATAAGAAGTTAATCAAAATTGATAATAAACAAGTATAATAGTGAATAACTTTCCGTAATATTTGATATTTTTTCTGAATAGAAACTAACATACATTTAAATAATGTACTTCTTTTTCTCTACACCAATCAAATAGTTGATTTATGTCAAGTGTAAACTGATGTACAAATAGTTTATAT